GGCCGCGAGCCCAGCTGTTTCCGCCAGGAAGGCTGGCGCCGCATCGCGGACATCCCAAAGAAAAACCGAGCGCCCCAGAACGCGCCGCGGCCCCTGGAAACGAACGTCGATCCGAGCCACCGCGGGGATCAAAGCCGCCACGGGGTCGTTGACCAAAGCCTACGGCTTGGGCTACAACATGCGCAGGGGCCCCGCGGAGAACAATTCTTCCAATGCAAAAACTCAGATCGCGCTGGCGGCCTTTGAAAACTTGGGCTCGCCATCCGCCAGGCCTTAGATGTCGGCCCCTGACAACGCTAAGGTCACCGGGCCCGCTCGGAAGACCGCTGCCGCGCGCGCTCCAGCCTCTCCGAGGCGAGCGCCCCCAAAGGCCCCAGCCATGGCGGCCAGGAAACGGGCATAATGGTCGAGACAAGCCTCCTAGAACAATTGGTGGCATATGTGCCTAGGCCGACTTCTCTGGACCTTGCTGAGGCCGGGCGCTGGCGCCAGAGCGTCCGCAACGTAACTCGACGCGGCCAGGGCCCCCGCCTTCAATCGCGAGATGGAAGCCCCCTTCTCCGCACATTATTAGCAGCGAGCTTATTGGGGGCAAGCAGCTTTCGAGTGATGACGCGGCCCCTCCTACAGCGCGAAAGGAAACATCGTCTGTGACATTCTTGAGGCGCACCAGTCTGGGCCGTGACGCGGCCGACCGGAGCAATCCGGGCAGCCCCCGCTGGCCCTCCAGGAGATGGATGCCCTCGTCCAACTCGAGGCGAGAGAATTTGGATGGGGGCAAAGCTAGTCCGAACCTTGGCAAGGCCTGCCAGGCCCTCAACAGCGACCGTAGCGGAGGCACGAAGGCTGACAGGCGCGCCGAGCCACGCCGTCGCACGGCCGACGCGAAAGCCGAAGCAATCGCTGGCGACGAAACATTCGAATCAGTGGCCGTTGCACGTGGCATGCTCAATCCTGAGGGCCTCCCGCGCGGTCTGTTCATCCTAAGTCGCGCAGGGTGGCTGGCCTCGGTGTTGCAGCCGCCGCCGATGATGAATGGGATGTTCGCGCTCGTGGCCTACCCGCCGACGCGCGCGACGAACCTGAGGTTCTCGGCTGCGAGGCCGATCTTGGCGCGGCCGTGGACCGAGACCGACAAAACCTGAAAGCGCCTGCGGGCCGCGCCCCCCGCGGGACCATCCAACGACTGCCCAGGCAGCGTTCGCAATCAGCCGATGCCCACGACATCTTCGTTGCAACAGCCGCCCCGCCCGAGGTCGAAGCGGCGCCACCGCCCACCCTCGCAGCAGCGCTGATGGACATGAGGCAACCCGCCCTGTGAGCGAACATCTCGGACCCGCCGAGGTTCCAGCTGTCGCGCCTGTGCCCCTGAATGAGAGATCTCTCGAACTCCTTGCCACGGTGGTCTTTGGCCCATTCAAAATAATTGACTGCTGTCAACTAGTAATCCGAATTCCATGTCGCGAGCGAAAAAACGGGCGACCGATGTCTCGGCGAAGCGTTGGCAACAGTGAGCCCCATAATCTTAGCCGAGCCAGGCAATCCTGGGGCCTGCGATCCAACGTCCAGCAAAACGTGTTAGACACCGAGCCCAGGCGGCATGCTGCAGCTACCACTCATGGGACGTGCGCCCCAACTCTGGGCAGAAACGGGCCAGTGTTGAGCCTTGGGACCCCCGCCGAAGCAAGAGCCCCAGGGACTTGCGATCGAACGCCTGAAGCACTCCAGAACGGCGTCACCGAAGCGCCTCAGGTAAGCGAAGCAGCCGATCACCCCCTCGCGCGGTCGCCTTTTCAGCCTCCAGGGGCTCGCGTCGCCGACCCAGTCCCAGGATTCTCAGAGCAGGCCTGGGGCGCGCGTCTCCCCCCAAGGGGGCGGGTCTCTGGACGGGCGCCAAGATCATGAGGACAGGCACCAGCGATGGGGGAGGCCGCGGGGCCATGATCACATGAAAAAGCGACTAGGGGAAACGTGCGCTGGGCGTGCTGACTGAGGCGCTGTGACTGGATGGAGTAGCCTGCCACTGGCCAACGCGACGGTCTAACAACTGCCCTGCTTGGCTCCGACGGCTGCCTCTGGTGCTGCGAAGATTGCTTCAATGTCCTTCTGGTCACGGGAAGGGTCCGCTGGCATGCCGACGCCATTCGCAACAGGAGTAGCTGCGCCAGACATTGGTGTAGGCACCGCGCCGCTGCTGAGGCTGCCGCCGTCGCTGGTGACCCTGAGCTTGCCAGCTGCCCTGAGGGAGGAGCCGCTGCCGTTGCTGTTTCGTCATCCCGCCTGCGGCGCTTGACCCTCAGTCGCTGGCGGAGCTCAGCTGCCTCCCTACGTAGCTTCTGGATATGTTTATGTCTACACTGGGTCTGGTCATTTCAACACATCCGCTGGGGTATCCCTGGTCATGTTGGCTTTGAGGGCGAGCCACTTCTTTTTCTTCTCGGCCGCGTCAACTTCGAGAGGGTCGACGTCGAGGTCCTCGCCGCCGATGATCTCCTCGGCGCCAGCCCCTTCCCCGTCCAAGAGCTCTGACAAACTGATACCCAGCCCCGCTGCTTTCAGTCCGCGACGCTGCCGAGTGGCCGTTGCTGCCAGCACCCGGCCCTTTAGCACGCTGCAGCTCGAAGGCCAACTCTTACTGCCACGCCACCTTCGCGCCATATGTTTGAGCCAGGGCGACTGCCGTGGCTGCCTTACACTCATTGTACCATGCCTCCGCTTCTGACCAGCGGCCAACCATCGCCAGGTGAGCCTGTGCAAGGCGGCAGGCCGCCCCTTTGGCTGAGATGGTCGCATCAAGGAACTGTTTCTGGGGTGGGCCCACCGCCGCCGTAGCCTTCTTTGGGCCCCACCATCCCTCAAGCGGCTTGAGCTGCTCTGGACCTGCTCCCTCGTGACCGACCCAGTATCGAAGCTGTCCCAAGAGATCCTCCGTCGAAGTTCCTCCGTCCTGGCCCTTCTCCGCCCGCTGAGGCGGGGAGGACTTGCGTGGCGGAGCCACGCGGGCGGCGGAACCCCCCACTGCCACTGCACTTGCCTGGAGGCCCCATGGGTGGCTGGGAACTTCCTTCACGATGAGGCACAAAGTCGCGCTGAGCCCAGACTCTCTGCGCATGACGCCACGGTATCTCCTGCGGTACGAGGGTGGCTCTGCAGTTGAAGCAGGACGTCCGCCTCGAGACATTCCATGTGTACCCGCGCGCGTTGCAGCGATGAAGCCTTTGGCAACCTTGGCCATTCGCGCGAGACTGAAAGGTGCGTGGCAACAGGGTGCACCCCTAGTACAGTAGCGTGGAGTAAGATGTGTGCCAGGGCCTCTTGGCGACAGAGGTGGGGCCGCCCCTCCCCTTTCCAAAACTCGCGTCCAGAACCTCCCGCTACGGACTTGAGCCACAACGGCTATTGAGGAGGAGGAGGAGGAGAAGGAGGAGGAGGAGGAGGAGGAGGAGGAGGAGGAGGAGGAGGAGGAGGGGGAGGGGACGGCGGAGGGGGAAGAAACAGGAACAGGAGCAACAACAGGAGCAGAAACAGGAGGAACAGGAACGGGAGCGGGGACGGCAGCAGGGGCAGGATTTTCGTTCGGGGAGGGAGGGGAGGAGATCAAGCATCCCAGCGACTGCCTCAAACGGCAGCGGAGGCAGGATTAATAGGAGGAGGAGGAGGAGGGGAGGAGGGGGAGGAGGCGGCGAAGGGGAAGAGGTCACAGCGGGACCAGTAACAAGAGCAGAAGCAGGAAGAGCGCGAGCTGGAACGGCGACGGCTGCAGGGGAGGCATCGCAGCAGCAGCAGCAGGAGCTCAGCACAGACACGCGACACGAAGTCTCGCCATGCGAGACATAGTAGCGGCACATGTTTCGCCGATCTGTGGAACTTCCTGGGGTGTCCTAAGGCCCTAGGGCTTATGCGCCCAAAGGGTCAGTGGGGGATAAGACACCTCCGTGGGGCACCCGCTGGCAGGCCGTTTTCTTGATCGATGCGCAAGCCGAAGGAGATGCGGTAGCAGCAGTAGGGCGAGCGGGATGTTGGGGAGGAGCTGGACCATGATGCGGAAGGCGAGAACAGGGAGGGCAAGGAGAACGAGGGTGAAGAAAGCGAGGGGGAACGGGCGGCGGAGGAAGAAGGACGGGGGAATACCTGCGCAGATCGATAAGGCCGGGGAAAAATGCGGGGAACGGACCAAAAGCTTGACCTTCAGCCAAGCCTCGCCGCTATGTGCAAGCGCACATGCGGACTGCCAGCCGCAATCGCGCTGGCGCTCGCACGTGGCGCCGACGCGCTCCTCCCGAGCGAGCGCATCCTCCGAAGTGCAGATCCGCCCAGTTACTACGCGGGCAACATGAGAGGCAACGATGGGGGCGGACCGGTTCAGGGGGAAAAACATCGAGCTGCAATCGGCGATGCATAGACGGTGGAGGCTCCCAAGAGCAGCTCCGAACGTCCCAGGGCCAGGTGGGCCATCAGGTCCCTCATCGGCGATGGCTGGGCGATTGGGGGTCGATGCGTCCCCCCCTGAGCCTATCCCCTCCCTAACGGTGCCCCTGACAGCAGCTGTGAATCACACTTTGTATCCTACAGGCGAGCAGAAACGAATACAGTGCCGGACCGTGGTGGGTCCTCCTACTCCTCCTCTGGCAGGGCGCTGGATATCCGCCCACGGTCGGAACTTTTGCTCAGCGTGTCGCGGCGGCGGCCCTGGCGACACGTCATGCCCTGCGAGCGGACAGGGTGTCGCTCCGCTTCGCGCGGCGGGAGGCTGGGAAAAGCTCGGGCGTCGAAGCTTGGGAACTAAGACGTGAAAGCGTTTCGCGCCAAAGCGTGGTGGGCCAGAACCGACGGCGCGACACGCTTAGCAAAAGTTCCCGACCGTACACCGGTGCAGGCCAGGCCAACCTTGGGCCAGGGATCGGTATGCACGCCCTCTTGGCCTGGCCAGCATGGTGTTCACAATCGACACCGACACTGGGTCCAGGGTTAGCCTGTCAAGGGCCGGTATCGGTAGATGCTTGGCGACACCTGGCCTCCGTCCACCACCAGAAGAAGGCCACACTTCGCTACAACGTAATTAGTCCGATCGAGCGAAGCGGCGGCTGGCTGGAAGGACTCGCACACGGCACCTACGGCAGCTGCGTGCAGTGAGACTTTCTGGCCAGGACAAAAAGAAGAATAGGGGCTGCAAGCCTCTCAGAAAAAACAACCTCCTCCAACCTATTTGTCCTCCTCCTCCTCCTCCTCCTCCTCTTCCTCCTCCTTCTCTTCCTCCTCTTACTTCCCCGCCGATCCCTCGTCATGATCATGATCATGATCATGATCATCATCATCATCATCATCATCATCATCATCATCATCATCATCAGCAGCAGCAGCAGCAGCAGCAGCACCATCAGCAGCAGCAGCATGACCATCATCAGCAGCAGCATGGTCATCCATCGTTGTCGTCGTCGTCATCATCATCAGCAGCAGCAGCAGCAGCAGCAGCATCATCACCACGACCATCAGCATCAGCAGTAGCAGCAGCATCAGCATCATCCCGTGCGTGCGGGCAGGCTTGGTCTGGCCCGGCGCCGCGGCAACGACTCCACGCTGCACAGCAGCGGCTTAGTCCACCTCCACTGGCCTGCCCGTCCTGCGCACCGCGTCGAGCCCGAGCGCCAGGGTGTGCGGCCCGCCGCCGTCGGCACCGCCCCGGAAGGATACGAAGACCTCGGGCTGGGACCCAGAGCCCTCGCCTCTCTCGCGAGCGGCGAACGCACGTTCAAGAATTATGTCAACCGAAAGAGGCCTCATGGCCCAAGAACAAGTGTTTGAGCGGCCCAGCGTTCGCCTGGACGGCCGCCCCTCCCTTCCCCTCCTGTTCTCGCGCGTCCGCTACATGCGTTGCCATGGAAATTTCGTGGACCTTCCCAGAGTCCCCAAGGGGCTCCCAAATGCGCCCAGAAGTGCCCAGGACTTCCCGTGCTCTTCCTCCCTCCTCCTCCTCGAGCCTCGACCTCCTCCTGGAGGAGGTGGCGATCCCCCTAGAGATGACCCCCCTTGGCACTGCCCGATATCGGCTGGGCCCAAGACCAAAAAATATCGCTCCAGATTGTTCCGGAATGCTGTCAGGGAGCGTACTGGAACGGCCGCGGCCCCCGATAAATCATCCAGAGCCGACGGACCCCGACTTTGTCCAGGTGCGATTGTGTCCCGGTCCTGGCTTCGTGAGGCGGGAGGAGGAGAAGGAGGAGGAGGCGGAGGGGGGGGACGAGCAGGAGAGGGAGCAGGAGCAGAAGGAGGAACAGAAGGAGAAGGAGGAAGACGAGGAGCAGGAGGAGCTATATGTTAGTGTAGGTCCGATGTAGTACGGGTGCTAGCTTCGTCGTCTTACAGAAGAACACAACGCCGCAAGCTGATCAGAAGTATTATGTTCCGCTCCAAGAATCAAGACTGAACAATTGGTAGTACAGAAGTAACTCGTACTAATTCACGGCCGCACGCAGAAGTAATCATCGAACCCAGAGAAACTTCAAATTCCAAGACATACACTTATAAACTTATCAGTCCTGAGAACGAAATCCGACAACAACTAATCATGAGAACATCGTTCAACGCGACCCGATAATCCAGATGTTCTTGAACAAGAATTCTCTGATCATGCCTTCTCTAAAGAATTCTCAAGGGTGTAGCCGCCGGAAACGGGCGAGGGATGGACAGGGGAGGTCGGGCGTGCGGAGGGCTGCGGCGGGGAGGAGGGGGACGCTGGGAGGGAGGAGGGACAGGAGGACGAGGATCAGGAGGAGGAGAGGGATGAGAGGAGGGCGGATGATGATGAGGGTGATGAGGGCGGAAGAGGATGGGGATGAGGACGAGGATGAGGATGAGGATGGGAATGAGGATGAGGATAAGGATGAGGACGAGGATGACGATGATGATGGTGATGATGATGGTGGTGATGATGATGGTGAGATGGTGATTGAGGTGGTGATGATACGAAATGATGATGATTATGATTGTGATGACGATGATGACGACGATGATGATGACGATGATGATGATGAGGATGATGATGATGATGATGATGATGATTGTGATGATGATGATGACGATGATGATGATGATGATGATGATGATGATGATGATGATGATGATCATGATGATGATGATGATGATGATGATGATGATGATGATGATGATGATGATGATGATGATGATGATGATGATGATGTTGATGATGATAATGATGATGAGAAGAAGGGGAGGGAGGAAGAGGAGGAGGAGGAGGAGGAGGAGGAGTGAGGAGGGCGGAGGAGGAGGAGGAGGAGGGGGAGGAGAAGGAGCAGGAGGAGGAGGAGGAGGAAGAGGAGGAGGGAGAGGAGGAGGGAGGAGGGGCAGGATGAGAGGGAGAAGGAGGAGGAGGAGGAGGAGGAGGAGGAGGAGGAGGGCAGCAGCGGGGACAGGAGGAGACGCAGTAGCATCGGCAGACACTCTTCGCCGCCCCTGCTGCCCGCGCCGCGGTTTTTTCCAGGCCCCTGCCCGCCCCTCCCGAGAGAGAGGCGCGATGAGCCTGATGGCCTCCCTCCCTTCTCCCTCCTTATCCTTATCCTCATCTTATTCTTCTTCATGTTCTTCCTCCTCCTACTTGCTCCTTCTACCCTTCTCCTCCTCCTCCTCCTTCGTTTCTTTGTCTTCTTCTCATTATTATTATTATTATTCCTCCTCCTCCTCTAGTACTCCACCCTCCTCCTCCTAATCATCCGTCTCCTCCTCCTCCTCCTCATCATCATCATCATCACCATCCTCATTATCATTAACACCCTCATCACCGTCGTCACTTTGCTCCTCATCATCGTAATCATCATAATCGTAGCACATATGGAATTGGTCCAGCACCCGCCCCCGTGCCTGAGCCTCGTCGATGCCGCTCAAGACGGTGCCAATCTCGCCACCTCGCACGACCACCGAGTCCGCGACGAGCAAGTCCCTCGTGGAAGGGCGCCGGCTGTACGGCAGGCTCGTGCCGTGACGACCCAAGCATTAGTCTTTGGTACCGCGTGGATCGTTCAACCTCGACCTTAGCTGCCCCGATACGCAACACGCAACCCGCAACGTGTTGACACGGAGCTCAACGCGTAGACTGGAAACGTAGGTCTGACGCGATACGTTCGCCAACACGTGAACCAACACGTGAGCCAACACATGCGGAGCCAACACGCAACGTGCTAACACGGACGTTTCGAACATGGTACGTGTTGCGTTTCAGCACGGGCGTATCAATGCAGCCAAGACCTTGAACGATCGCGGCTTACCAATAGCGCGGATCGTTCGATACCAGCCGATTGCAGGACACTGGCGAAGTTCAAGCTTGCACGCGGCCCGAGCCGTAGCCGCAGCATCAACGCGAGCCACAGCCGCGGCCGCAGCCCGAACCGCAGAGTCGCTGCCATGTCGACGCGGCGCGAACCTGCTGTGCACCTACGCCGAGCCTAGCTGGACGGACCCTTTTGCGGCCCCCTTTGAGAGAGGACGCCCAACTGCCCAGGGCCTCCGCACTACGGAGCGCGGCCGTCTCTCCGCCGCCCGCGGGTGCGCTTGGGTGCGCCCCGCCCTGCGGTCACGGCGTGTCACGGCGGCGGCACTGGCGACACGCTACTCCCTGCGAGCGGATAGCGCGTCGCTCCGCTCTGCGTGGCGGGAGGCTAGGAAAGGCTCAGGAAGTCGACGCTTGGGCACGCGGGAAGTGCTCAGCGTGTTGCGCCGAAGCGTGGTGGGCCATAACCAGCGGCGCGACGCGCTGAGCCAGAGTTGCTGACCGTAGTCCAGCCAGGAAGCCAGCTGCACGCAAGATCGACCCTAGGGGGTGCCTTCGATACACGGCTTGCTGGTTCCTGCGTGCGACGGGATAGCAGTGACCTGCATGCCTGGGCTTGCCGAGCCCCGCCCCTCGAGTCCCCCCTAAACCCTAAAACCGCGCACCAAATGCCGCTCCGTCGAACGGCTACCCTGGCGGGTCGCCGCGGAAGTCGGCTACACGCAAGAGCGACCCTGGGCAAGGGTGGGGTGACCCTCGGCGCCCGAATGTACGAGGGGCGCCGGGAGGGAGGGCGGGGGAGGCACATCCGAGCGTGCAAGCCACTGCCGTCGCATCGCCTCAGCGATCGAGGGGCCCTGGTGGGCCCGCGCCAAAGGTCACTCTGGCAAAGGGCCACTCCTCCGTGCAGCCGAGGGGGTCGAGCGCGTCGAGCCTGGGCCAAGGAATGCTCGGATGCTTGGCGCCCCGCGGCCTCGTGGCCTGCACCTCCGAGCCGACAGGCAGACTGCTCGGCGGCTCGCACCACTGCCGGATCTCCACCTGGCACCAGCGGGTCCCTCCTCATCCCTACCGCCCTCCTCATCATCCGCCCCCCTTGGCTCCAACATGTCCGAACGCAACCGCTGGAGAGCAAAACTATTACGCAAATGGTTCCGGCTAACAGGGGCGCTGGACAATAACGGACATGGAAAACGGAACAGCCGATCGGAAACAGAATTCCGCCGTTTCCTGGCTTCTGGCTTCCATTTTCCAGAATCTGGTCTCCGTTTTCCGATCTCCTTTTTCCGTTTTCCGGTTGCCGTTTTCCGCTTTCTGGTTGCCGTTTTCCGGTTTCCGGTTTCCGCTGCCCGTCTTCCATTTTCCGATCTCCGTTTCGTGTTTTCCAATCTGGTTTCCGTTTTCCGGTTTGCTATTTCCGTTTCCAATTTCCGGTTTCCTGTTTCCGGTTTCCATTTGTCGTTTTCCGGTTCTCCGTTTTCCAATTTCTGTTTTCCGTTTTTTGGCTTCCGGTTTCCGGTATTCGGTTTCCGCTGCCTATTTTCCGTTTGTTGGTTTTCGTTTTCTGGTTAAGGTTTCCTGTTTTCGAATTCCGCTTTCCAGTTTCTGACGGCCTTCGAAAATCCCCACTCCAGTCCAAGAGCCCTTCAAGAGAATTCTAAGGGGCGCCCGCTAGGGGGAACGCAGGCAGACACTTTGAGCTTCCTGCCCAGAGACGACCCCCGAAATCGTCAGCACGCTCCTGAGCGACCTTCAAAAATGCCCCCAGAGGCTCTCAAAGAGGCTTCGAGGACGTCCAGAAAGGTCAAAATAACAAATCACGCGGGAAGGCCAGCAAAGCGCGCTACCAAGTCGAGAACCCCAGGAATCCAGGCATGAGTCTCTGCCCCTTACAGAGTACCCAGCATCTACGACACCGCATACAGAGACGTAGGAGAAACCTGAGGACACTTCACTCGCTGTTTCCTGCGCTATTGTGGAAACAGCTTTGCTGTGATTTACTGGCGCAGTTCGTAAGTTGCTTATCGCGAGGAACACTGAACAGAGGGGGCAGTGTGAAGCCAGCGGTGTGTGAGGATCTCGTGGGGGCAATTTTAGGCCAGGGAGGGGGGGATATTCCGGGTGCAGTTTTTAAGCGACGGCGGGGGTGACTATATTTCGGGGGAGCAGCTTTTAATGCATGAGTGGGTGAGGATGTTTCGGGGCAGTGTTTTGAGTCGGCGGGTCAGGATATTTCAGGGGGGCTGTTTGAAGCCAGCGGTCGATGATATTTCGGGGGCAGTTGAAGCCAGCAGGATGCTTTGCATTGCTTTACTTTGCGTTGCTTTGCATTGCTTTGCGTTGCATTGCTCTGCGTTGCGTCGGAGGAGGGAGAGTGACAGGGAGGAGGCGGAGGTAGACATAGGAGGAGGGGAGGACGTCCAGGAGTGAGGAGGATGCGGAGGACGAATTAAGCCACGAGAGGGTGACAATATTTCGGGGGGATGCACTCGGGGGGGTGAGGATGCTTCGGGGCAGTGTTTGAAGCCAGCGGGAGAAGATATTTCAGGAGAAGTGTTTTAAGCCAGCAGGCGATGATACTCTGGGAGCAGTTGAAGTCAGCAGGTTGCTTTGCGTTGCTTTACATTGCGAATCTTTGCTTTGCATTGCCTTGCATTGCTTTGCATTGCATTGGTTTGCGTTGCTTTGCGTTGCTTCGGAGGAGGGGAAATGGCGGGGAGAAGGGTGAGGAGGACGACGACGAGGAGGGAGGAGGAGGCGGGGGACGAGGAAGGAGAAGGAGAGGGAGGAGGCGGCGGCAGGAGGAGCCGGAGGCGTTGGACGACTAGGGGGTTGCGGAGGGATGAGAGGGAGGGCGGATGACCAACGAGGGGAAGGAGGAGGAGGAGGAGAAGGAGGAGGAGGAGGAGGAGGCATAATGGGGGACGAGGAGGGAGGAGCTGAGAGGAGTTGTGTTCGGTGCGGGCATCCAAACGCCGCGCGATGCAGTATTGGGTATTGGGTCTTCGCTTGACTGCCCCAGCCGATGACTACTCATCTAGCGCGGTGCTGCGCCCGTATTGCTTAAGGAGCCTCGCCCCGAACTTTGCGTTGCGTGCAATTCAGTAGGTCCTTCTTGGACGTATCTTCAATTGTTGTTGTTTTGGGGGGAAATCGGGCTCCATAGGTCCTGTTCTGCTTCCGACTTCTGGTCTCCGTTTTCGGGCTTCTGGTTTTCAATTTGCGGTTTCCGCTTTCTGGTTTCGTTTTCTGGTTTCGGGTTTCCGTTTTCCGCTTTCCGCTTTCCGTTTTCCGTTTTCCGGTTTCCGATTTCCGGTTTCTGGTTTTCGGCTTCCCTTCTCCGGCTTCCGGTTTCCGGTTTCCGGTTTCGGATTTCCGATTTCCGGTTTCTCATTTCCGGTTCCGGTCTCTGCCCAAGAAATTTCCGCGCTTCCAGCTTTCCGATTTCCGGTTCGGGCCCTCGTCCGAGGACCACCCCCGCTCTTTATTTTCCGCTTTCCCTTTTCTAATTTCTGATTCCGGTCCCTGCCCGGGGAATCTCCTCTTGCTCTTTTTTGCTTTCCGGTTTCCGATTTCCGTTCTCGGTCCCTGCGCGGGCGGTTTCCCGCCATTCATTTTCTGATTTCCGCTTTCCGTTTTCCGCTTTCCGTTTTCTGGTTCCAGTTTCCGCTTTCCCCCCCTGCCGGCGGAACCATCTCTGGAAGTGCTCTCCTGGAGGGAGGATACGGATGGGGGTCGCGAGGAAGAGGAGGAGGGAGAAAGGGAGGTGCGTATGGAGGGAGAGAGGGAGGGAGGGGTACGTACTACCACGACGGGATCTCATCTTGGGGACTTCCCTCCTCCTCCTTCCTCATCCTCCTCCTTTCCCCCTTCCCATCCTCCTCATCTCCCATTCCCCTATCCCCCTTATCATCGTCAACCCCCTCTTTGTTTTTCGCGGTTCCTGGTCGCCTGGGCCGCGGACTCCAAGGCCCCTGGAAATTTCAAAATGTGCAAAACATGTTGTTTTTTTTTAGCAAAACAAATTGGAAATTCTGAGTGGTCCAGAGTTGTCGCGGTTCCTGGTGACCTTTGCTGCGGACTCCAGGGCCCTTGGGAATTTCAGAAAATCTATGAATGTTGAAGATTTCCGGGGGCGTAAAAGAAACAGTTGAAATTCTGAGACGTCTGGAGTTTTCGCGATTCCCCCTTGTCGCCTGGGCTGCGGTCTCCAGAGCCCTTTGATTATTTGTTTCATCGTGATGACTGGAAACAGCTAACTGCTTGGGGGGCTACATTTTCTTGATTTTTTTCACATAAAAGATGCTAATATGTTTGAAATCCTGAGGGGTCTGGAGTATTAGCGATTCCTGGTCGACTGGGATGCGCTCTCCAGAGTCACTTTTAATACTATCTTCTACCCTGATTATTGGAAAAAGCTAACTGTGTGGGGGGGGCTGCACTTCTCATTTCTTTACGTAAAGAGATTCAAGTGTTTGAAATTCTAAGGGGTTTGGAGTTTTAGAAATTCCTGGTCGCCCGGGCTGCGAATTCCAGGGCCCACTGGAAATTTCAAAATTTGTTACACCTTTCAAAGTTCTCGGGTCCCTGGAATGCTTTAAACTTGTAGAATTTTGATATAAGGGGGGTCTGGATTCTCGAGTGTCATCGGAGGTTGGGGGGTGAGATCGCAGTGGAACGGAGACCCCCAACTGGGAAATCGTTTCGTTCGTGTCGTGCGTGCGGGCGAGGCGAAGCTGCGTGGGCGCGCGAGAGGAATGAACCCGCCGTTGCTGGGGCGAAGTCAAGAAATATGATTCTCCCCCGTCCGTCCGCCCGTCCGGCGGTGGCTCGCGGTGTCCCGCGGTGTCCCGTTGTGTCCCGTGGTGTCCCGTGGTGTCCGCCGTTGCTAGGGCGAAGTCCAGACAAATGATTCTCCCCCGTCCGTCCGTCCGTCTGGCGTTGGCTCGCGGTGTCCCGCGGTGCCCCGTGGTGTCCCATGGTCTCCGCCGCTGCTACGGCGAAGTTAAGACAAATGATTCTCCCCTGTCCGTCCGCCCGTCCAGCGGTGGCTCGCGGCGTCCCGCGGTGTCCCGTGGTGTCCCATGGTGTCCCGTTGTGTCCCATTGAATGAAATCGATAGTGAGATCGCTAGAGAGATCGATGGCGAGATCGATAGTAAAATCGATTGTGAGATCGATACTGAAATCGATGTGGTGCCCCGAAATGTCCCGGAACAAATGAAATCGATAGTGAAATCGACAGGTGTCCCGTGGTGTCCCGTTGAGCGAGATCAATAATGAGATCGACAGTGAGATCGATATAGAGATCGATGTGGTGCCCCGAGGTGTCCCGTGGTGTCCCAAAAAATCAGATGGGTAGTGAAATCGTTAGTGAGATCGACAGGTGTCCTATGGTGTCCCGTGGTGTCCCGTTGAGTGAGAGATCGATAGTGAGATCGATGTGGTGCCCCGAGGTGTCCCGTGGTGTCCTATGGTGTCCCGTTGAGTGAGATCGATAGTGAGATCGATACTGGGACCGATAGTAACATCGAGAGGTGTCCCGCGGTGTCCCGTGGTGTCCCGTTGAGTGAGATCGATAGTGAGATCGATAGTGAAATCGACAAGTGTCCCGTGGTGTCCCGTTGAATGAGATCGATAATGAAGTGAGATCGATTGAGTCAGATGTTGGTTCCCCTCCTCTCCCCCCCCCCCACAACCTTCTTATTTCCCGAAGGGTGGTCGTATAGGTATTTTGAAAATCTGGGGATCTGGGGGCTCTTGGGGCCTCTCCGATACCCTGGGGACCTCCTAATGCCTCTTGGGGCTTCCTGGGACCTCCCAGGGCCTCCTGGTGCATTCTGGGGTCTTCTGGAAGTTTCTTTCCAGGGCGCTTGGCGCTGTAAAACATTGTTTTTGCGCAGACGTCGTTTTTTGTTGTTGTAAAAAAACGACGTTTGCGCAGAATCTTGGCGGTTCTGGATGCTGGATTCCTGGGCGCCTGGGCTGCACGTTCGCCTGGGCTGCACAGAGGAGTAGGAGCGGCAGGAGGAAGAGGAGGAGGAGGAGGAGGAGGAGGAGGAGGAGGAGGAGGAGGAGGAGGAGGGGATGAGGAGGAGGAGGGGATGAGGAGGATGTGGAAGGAGTATAATGGACGTCGAACAGGAGGAGGAGGAGGAGGCCAAGAGGAGGAGGAGGACGATGATGAGGATGCTACAGCGCGTACAGGTGGATGCGTGTAGTGGAAGAGGCGTGGAACGACCAACATAATAATGCCAGTGATAGTGCCAACAGCAATTGTGAAGAAGAACAGTAACAAATACACGGGCAACACACAACAATTGTACAATTATCCTACAAAACGACATTCCGAACTAAAAGCAACAGTGCTGATACTTAGACTACGAATAATAATCATAGTCAGAAAATCAATGTTACTATTCATAAAAAGTGATATTACAGTCAAAGGAAAATAGAAACACAATGCTCCACTTTTCGCATGGAAACATTTGAGTACACATTTGATCAACGGCAACGCACATGAGTCACATCCGGCGCTGCACGCACGTCGAGCCGACGTGGGCCAAAAGGTTAACTCAAAGTCTGCACCGCTTGTATCGCGCCTGGACGGCGGCGCCCCCATCCGCTCGGCGGCGGCCCCGTCCGCGGTCGAACCGCCTTGAGACTGTCCGACTCCTAATTTAGCCAAATAAAGAAAGATAGCCGGATGAATCTCAACGTCTGCACTACATGGTATAAGTTCACACACCGGACGCGTCCGATGGCGGTCTCAAAGCGGTCTAAAACAGCCCCAAAGGGTCTCAACGTGCCCTGAAACCCTCGGCGCCGAGCACGTCCGCGAGGCTCACGTGGTCTCAAATTGCCACGAAACCCTCGGCGCCGAACGCAGTCGCGCGTCTCAAAAGGTTTCAAATCGCCCCGAAACCCTCGGCGCCGAGCACATTCGCAAGACTCACATGGTCTCAGTGTGCTACAAAAAAAACCTCAGCGCTGAACGCAGTCGCGCGTCTTCAAGGCTCTCAAATCGCCCCGAAACCCTCGGCGCCGAGCACATCCGCGAGTCTCACATGGTCTCAAAGAGCCACGAAACCCTCGGCGCCGAACGCATTCGCGCGTTTCAAAAGGTCTCACAGTGGCCGGAAACCCTTGGCGCCGAGCGCATCCGCGCGACTAATGTGGCCTCTCAGTGCCACGAAACCTTCAGCGCTGAACGCAGTTGCGCGTCTTCAAAAACTGTCACAATGCCCCGAAACCCTCGGCGCCGAGCACATTCGCAAGACTCACATGGCCTCACAGTGCCCCGAAACCCTCGGAGCCGAACGCATCAACTTGTTCAGTACTGTGCTTAAGTATATTTGTTTGCCTCAGCAAAACGCTCCAGCCTAGACGCGTACGTTTGCCCAACGTACAAGAAAGGAGGAACATCAGGAGGGTAGGCAGTAATGAGGAGCAGCAGGATGAGGGCGCCTGCCCTGTTTCAGCCCAGCGCCCCCCAAGAGCACCGGCAGCACGTTGAAGCAGCTCTGTGCCCCGCCCTGCGGCGCGTCGAACGCCACGGTCAGCCTGGCACCCTTTCACCCCTCCTGTTTGGCCCCCTCACCTGCCTCCTCCTGCCTGGCCTCCTTCTCCTTCCTCCTCCTCCTCCTCCTCCTCCTCCTCCTCCTCCTCCCTCCTCCTTCGCCTGCTCCTCCTGCCTGGCCCCCTCTCCTCCCTCCTGCCTGGCTTCCTCATCCTGCGTCCTCCTCCTCCTCCTCCTCCTCCTCCTCCTCCTCCTCCCTCCTCCTCCTTCCTGCTCCTGCTCCTCTCCTGCTCTCCTCTTCTCCTCCCTCTCCTCCTCCCCCTCCTCCTCCTCCTCCTCCTCCTCCTCCTCCTCTTCCTCCTCCTCCTTCTCCTGCTGCATCTCATTTAGTTATCCTCCTCCTCGTTCGACCACGCTCCCCTCTCTTGGCTCCAGCACGTGGACCTCTGAGAGTTCCTCCCAGCGGAGGCCGACTGTCCGAGTTGCTCTGTGCATGCGGGCGGCGGTCCCTCGGACGCGGGTAGCGTGGCGGCCCCTGCTGTCGGTGCGGATGCCGACGCCTGGGAGGGCACCGGGCCGTGGCACGCTCGCGGCCACTCGTGCCTCGACGCGCCCATCGAAGGCTCCGATGAAGCCCCGTGTGAATCCTTAGTTTTTTCGGGCGTAGCCCGAATGTGTTTCTCGCGAGGTAAACTGACTGAGCTGAACTGACTGGTCGCGCCCGTCACGCGATGGCTCTATTCGCTATATTCTCGGCCGCCGAGGGCGCAACCTATGGCGCAACCAATAGGAGACGGTTTTCTTCTGTCTCGGCCGCCGAGGGCGCAACCTGTGGCGCAACCGATTGGAGACAATTTCATTCTCGGCCGCCGAGGGCGTAACCTATGGCGCAACCGATCGGAGACGGTTTTCTCGGCCGTCGAGGGCGCAACCTGTGGCGCAACCGGTTGGAGACGGTTTTATTCTTGGCCGCCGAGGGCGCAACCTATGGCGCAACCGATCGGAGACGGTTTTCTCCTTGCTCGGCCGCCGAGGGCGCAACCTATGGCGCAACCGATCGGAGACGGTTTTCTCCTTTCTTGGCCGCCGAGGGCGCAACCCATGGCGCAACCGATAGGAGACAGTTTTATTCTCGGCCGCCGAGGGCGCAACCAATGGCGCAACCGATAATCGACAACTTTCTTCTCGGCCGCCGAGGGCGCAACCAATGGCGCAACCGACAGGAGACGGTTTTCTTCTCGGCCGCCGAGGGCGCAACCTATGGCGCAACCGAAAGGAGACGGTTGTTTTCTCGGCCGCCCAGGGCGCAACCTAAGGCGCAACCTGTGGCGCAACCTGGGTGCCAGGAGAGGGAGGATGAGCAGGACGAGGAAGATGAGAAACGAGGACGAGGTCTTAGACGAGGACGGCGAGGAGGAGCTGGAACAGGAGGAAGACGAGGAGGATGAGCAGGACGAGGAGGAGGAGGACGACGACGATCAGGATGGGGAGGAGGACGGGGAGGAATACGAGCAGTAAGAGGACGACGTGTGGGCATTCGAATGCGTGCGGGGCTACGCCCGATTTATGCTCGCCGTCTGGGCTGGCGGCGGGGCCCAAGCAGCGAGCCGTCTTCTGATGTGCACCATGTGCGGATCCGTCGGCCACCCGGCAGCGGGGTGGGGCCGCAATGCTCTCGCTTCGGATTGCCCCCGCGGCGTCCGCACGGGCGGCCGTGAGCAGCAATTGGCGTGGATCTCGCGTGGGAGGCACCCATCACGTCGCGATGGGCGTGTCGGCCCGGCGGCCTCTCTCTCTCTCTCTCTCTCTCTCTCTCGGACTCGAAGAGGGACTTCATGGCCACCGAACTTGGGTTGCTAGAGGTGCCTCCTCTCGGTCCAGCCCCTCCCCTCGCTTCGGCAGGTCGGCCCGACCTTGTCCAAGGCCTGCCTCGCCCTTTTTGGCCTCCCGCGCCGAAGCCGAGAGCCTGAGGGCGCGGGTGCTTGCAGGGAGAAATCGGGCAGGCCTCTCGAACGGTTTTGACGATGAGGAAGATGGGTAGGTTCTCGTTGATTGATTGTGATGCATGTTTCAATGGGTTTGCAGACTCTGCAGGTGGCGGTGTCCTCCTGTCTGGCCCCCTTCCTCCCTCCACCTGCCTCCTCCTCCTCCTCCTCCTCCTCCTCCTCCTTGTCCTCCTCCTCCTGCCTGCTCCTCCTCATTCCTCCTCGTCCTCGTCCTCGTCCTCGTCCTCGTCCTCGTCCTCGTCCTCGTCTTCCTCCTCCTCCTCCTCCTCCTCCTCCTCCTCCTCCTCCTCCTCACCTGCAGCGCCCCGGCGGGCCTGGTGTCGCTAAACTCTGCTAGCACCGCTCCAGGGTTGCCTGCGTTGACGACGATCCTGCGAGGGCTCACGGGGGACAGCAGGAGGGAGGGAGGGAGGGGAAAGGTGGCAGGTGTAGTGCGGGAGTGCGGGAGGATTTGATATTGGAGCGAAGAAGGGAAAGAAGAACACAACATCAACCTGTGGGGGGGGGGTCGAGGAAGGCGGGGGAGGGAGGGGGGGGAAGTAGGGAGGGAAGGAGGGAGGGAATAAAGGAGATAGGGAGAGAACGACGGACAAAGGAGAGAGCGCGGATACAACATCAAGCTGGGAAGAGGGGGAGACGCATGGGTGGACGGAAGGTGGGATGTGGGAAGGGGATTCATCACCAGCCTGTGCAAAAAAAACGTATGGGGCCTCGGTGGCGAACCCTATCAGAGAAACTATGGATTCAGTTTGTGTCGGGGTTTCGGTTTTCTGCTATGCCTGGCGGCCCATAGGGGCCAGACGGATCGCCAGGAGGCGGAGGAGGAGGAGGAGGAGGAAGAGGAGGAGGAGGGGCCATCTGCTACTACTTCCGCCACCAGGACAAGCCCATGGGTGATACCTCGCCCAGGAGGTCGGGAGTGAGGAGGGCGGAGGGACGAACGCTGCGAGCCTCGATGCTGAAGGCCTGGTCCACGCAACGAGGGAGGGGTGGGGCCCTTGGAGGAGGAGGATACCGATAGCAAAGTACGATGACGATGCACAACTTTGCAATTGCGATTTTCACAACATGCAGCCCGAGTCTGATCAGTTTGAGCACTGCCTGCTTCCGCGGAGACTCGGATATGGAGGAGGAGGGCTGCAGGTTCCCAGGTGGGCTGTCGCCCACCACCTGGGCGTTCAGAGAAACCATCCCGACGGGCGCGCCTCCGTCGGGGCGATCGGACCTCCGGCCAATGCGCATGGCCCCGGTGGACACCAAACCTACGACGGGTTGTGTGCCGTGTGGTCGCGGACTCAGGGGGGAGGAGGGGAGGAGGACGGGGGGGGAGGAGAGGATGGGGGATGAAGAGGAGGGGAGAAGGAAGGAGGAGGAGGAGGAGGAGGAGGAGGAGGAGGAGGAGGAGGAGGAGGAGGAGGAGGAAGGAGAAAGGAGGAAGAGGAGAAGGAGGAGGAGAGGAGGAGGAGGAGGAGGAGGAGGAGGAGGAGGGGGAGGAGAAAGGAGAAGAGGGAGAAGGAGGTGGAGGAGAGGAAGGAGGCGGGAAGGAGGGAGGAGGAGAGGAGGAGGAGGAGGAGGAGGAGAAGGGGGAGGAGGCGGGAGGAGGGAGGAGGGGAGGAGGAGGAGGCGGGAGGAGGCGGGAGGAGGCGGGAGGAGGCGGGAGGAGGAGGAGACACAAACTTGAGCTGTTCGGGGGGACGACCCCGTTAGCATGCAGGGAGAAGGGAACGCTTTGAAGGCAGAGTTCCCCAGCGAAACGAGCGCGCAAGATCCCCACGGGCCCGTCCACGAGCGCGATGCCAGGATGCCACGCAATATCTCGATGGGAAACCAATGCACTTCCACCTCTCGCGTGGAGTATAATCTAATGCCCCAGTCCACGACGGCAGTTTATCGTGCCATACACCATCGAGAGACTGGAAAGCACAACCAACTGACGTAAAGAGCTGGAGGCTCCCCAAGGCAAGGTCGAAGAACAAGGTTCAACCAGCTGGGGGAGGACCACGGTCCCAAGGCTCTCTGATACCCCAAGCAGACATCTGCTCGAGCGCAAAGTTGACATGCCAGAATCAGACTTCCGAAGAACCAATACATCGCCGGGCCGACCAGGAAGCAGTGCCTTATAGCAGCTCTTCGAGTGCTGCCATACACACCATTAGTTGACAACTAGACACCAGAAACGTCCAATACATTCAACCCGAAGGCGAGGGCGACGATGACTCCTGATGCGTGCCATTCAGCAAGGCTGCCACTGCCCATCGGAACCGCATCAATTGTCCCCGCCGACTAGGCGAGAGCCTCTGCTGAACATGTAGACATCGTTGAGCTCGGGCGCCTTTGCGAAGAGCCACGTCGCCGCCGCATTGATGCTGATGTGGCGCATCAGGGATTCGCGCGCGAGGCCGTGCGGGAGACGCCGACGAAGCTCGGCCCCGCCAAATTTTTCGGAGGCACTCTTCGAGAAGCTGCATCTCCCGAACTTCAACCGCATACTCGAACAACTCTCCATACAATCGCACAGATCCGTCGAGCATCTTCTCAGCTGGCAGTCCGCTGGCGGGCCTGAATGAGACCTGCTGTCCAAGCTTGGCCAACGATATCATGCCGACCGCGCGCCCCATAGTGAGACTGCCATCCCACTCCGCAAGAAAAATGAACATACACACGCTTCAGCCGAAGCATATGGGCCACTTCCAGCACGCCGTAGCCCCTCAGCATATCCTTCGGATCCAAAGGGCCGCCCAGCTGGGCCCGCGCAGCGCGGTCTCGACCACCTGCCAACCTTTGCAGCTCCGCACCAGCTGGATGGTTGCATGCCTTCGGTTGGTAGCCAGGCACCGTGCCGACTGCCGCCAGAACTGAGAGCATGCCGCCTGGCTTCAGGAGGTCGGAGGATCTGCACATGCCAATTGCCGTCGCTCTCGGGAGCTGTGCCAGAACTGCTTCATAGGTGCCCGAGTACGTGCGACGGCAATGCGGGCCGGGACAAAATCCTGCGTATCGGCCGATGAAGTGGCCTAGATTTTGACGCCAAGCCGTAGGAGGACAGCCACAATAATACACCTACACCACAAGTGCTGGCTCCGTCACCAGATCCGGATGCTCGAACAGGCGGCACATGTCGAGCGCCCTGATTTGCGCCCCACGCCGTAGGAGATGGACTTTGATGCCTCTGCAGGATGTCCACCTCGAGGTCCGAGACCCACTTGGACAAAGAGAGTTCCAGTTACTCGTCATCCTTGGGCGGCGGATTCGTTTGCTCTTCCCCGACACCCAAAGTGGCAGCGCCAGCTCCTACTTCAGCCGTCAATAACCAATGACTTCCAGGAGGCGCCTCCAGACACTGTTCTGCTTCCAGAACGGCAAGATGCGCGCCCTCCTGATGTGCACTTCCTAGGCCATGAGCGCTGAACAGGTCCGTACGCCTGGGCCGCGCCAGCCTGCTGACCGCGCCCTCGGGGTGGCGGCCAAGGCGGGGAGGGGGACCGCCTGCGGCGATCCGTCGAGACGCTCCCGAGGTGCGCTGGGGGCGATGGCGACGCAGGCTGGCCGCGCGCTGCCAAGAAGGAGGACGAGGAGGATGAGGAGGAGGAGGAGGAGGAGGAGGAGGGCGAGGAGGAGGGGAGGAAAGAAGGAGGAGGGGGGAGGAAGGAAGGATGGGGGACGAACGAGGAGGGGGAGCAGCAGCTGCAGACCCGCTCGGCCCTCCTCTTCCCCTCTTCTGCCCTCCGCTGCCCCCTGAACCCTGACCCCTATGCCATCTGCCCTCCCTCCTCCTCCTCCTCCTCCTCCTCCTCCTCTTCCTCTTCCTCCTCCTCCTCCTCTCCTCCTCCTCCTCTTCTCCTCCACCATCTTGTTCTTCCTCTCCTCCTCCTCCTCTCCCCTCTCCTCCTCCTGCCTCCTCCCTCCTCCTCCTCCTCCTCCCCTCCTCCTCCTCTCCTCCTCCTCCTCCTCCTCCCCTCCTCCTCCTCTCCTCCTCCCCTCCTCCTCCTCCTCTCCTCCCCTCCTCTCCTCCTCCTCCTCCTCCTCCTCCTCCTCCTCCTCCTCCTCCTCCTCCTCCTCCTCCTCCTCCTCCTCCTCCAGCGGGCTTTTCAGCACTTGAGCCACAGTATGTTTACGATCAGTGGCTACAAAGCGATAGCAGCGTAAAGGTAGCTTGCGTCCAGCGGTGGCGACTAAATATTCCTGTAAAGAGCCTCTGAAGTTCTACAATCCTAATGGGATCCTGCTTATAATCTCACTCTGATTCTGTGCTTCTAGGATATGTAACAAACGCAAGAATGGCAATACAACGTATATCGTTCATTCATTCTCAGATAAAGAAAAACCCTCTACTATGCCCCGACTGTGATACATCAAGGGCATCGCATCAAGCCTCACTCACATAGTCCTCCATGGAATACATTTTGTGCCTGGTAACGCTGTCCTGAAAGTAACAGCCGTACATGTTGATGATCTTCGCCGTCTTCGTAGTGGTGTCCCCGTGCTCCTGAATGCATTCCAGGTCACGTTCCGTAAAATGCTTCCGTATACGTAGTTCTCGAACACTGACTGGAGTCTGTGTTCCGTCCTTCTTCTGCTTCATCAAACCTCGATACCGAATGATTCCCATGATGAGATAGTCCTGCATATGTGGGAACAGTCCTTGCTTCGTCCATGCGTCCATTATCATCACTTCCGTAGGCCAATGATAGAAGCGTCTCAACCTCCCTACCAATCGATCTTCTCTCAGACTCAAGATACTCAATCTCTGCGTCTTGTCAACCGGGATACCTTTCATTCCCGCCACGAGCTGATACAGGTCATAACAATCTGTCACAATATCTACTGGGAGTATCGTCTTGGCCTCATCCTGGTACTGCATCAGCATTTTTAGTGCTCCTTCTGGTCCTCGATCCAACTGAGGTCGTATCAATATCTCCGTAAAACGTAATGCTGTGAATTGTGCCATCTGAGATCCTCCGACTGCGGCACCTGTCTCTGCGTGATTCGTTGAGTACGATACTCTCTTAGATGTCCTGCTCTGTCCAATAAGTGGGTGTGCTGCTCCAAAGACGTGGTCATAGCATGAGATGTTGACTTCTCCTCGTGAATTCTTCTCGATGAATCTATCTTCCATGAGAAATAGCCCCTGAGCTGCATGAGCATAAGAGGTGCTCTTCGTAGCGTGTGCTGCATCACTGATACTCACCAATCTGAATGGTCCAGACAGCTTCTTGAAGTACAGTCCTGCCCGAGATCGATGCTTCTTAACTCTGCCTAGAATAGATTTCAATAATTTGTAGTATCCTATCGTCGGTGCTGTCTGTCGTGATTGCATTTGAGTCACTCCGCAACTGATGCCCCATCTGGTCTGCAACAAATGTAACAACTG